CTGTGGATCGCGCCAGTATTTGGTCAACATGTCGGCGAATTAGCCGTCCATCTTCCGTTCTTACCTTATAACAACCAGGACCCTCGGCATACTCAATGGTGGCGCGTCGCCACTTCTCTCCTAGCCCATAGGCACGTACCAGCACGGGCTGGTTGAGCGCGAAGGCTTAGGCGGGCACCCGCTGCGCCACCTCTTCCAGCTGCCACTCAGAGCGCTCTGGTCCACTGTCCGGATGTAGCGCCGACACCGCAATTCTATATTTACGTCCAATCAACATCTCTGCAGGAATTTTACCGAAGTGATTCGGCACCGTTCTAAGCGAGTATAACACCCTAGGTAGTTTCTCAGTCTACAATACACCTGCATCAGATATTTTCTTGAGCTTGTTCTTGAAGGTCTGCATCTCCCGTTCGATTTGTCCGCTCGTCAGCTATCCCTGCGAAGCAAAAATCCTGCGACAACTTTGCTATTAGAGCTTCATTACTCATATTTAATTAAATATCTGCCTCAAACCATTTGCTATAGCTGTCAATCATTAAAAAAAAAAGTGTTCCCTTGAAATGGTCCTGCAAAATGAACACGGACACGACTCCATGGCTTGACAGGTAAAATCCATGTGCGCGGATCTCTTAGTGGATTGTTTCTTACGACTTGACACAACTCACAGCCAGTCACCGTGGCCTCTATCTGAGCGCCCATACCGACCCACCATACGTATACTCTAGCATAAGCTTTCGTCTGGTCAATTCTTAATACCTGCTGTTGTAAAGAAGCGGGTATAATGACTCTGTTACACCACAATAAACACTCTTTATTATATGAAACGTAATTTTTACGGATTTTATCGCGTTTAATTTAACCTTTTAATTCCCGACGTTTCGGGTGATTTACAGCACCCGAAACGTCGACTCACAAAGAAGAGACTCTTTATTATGTGAAAGTCTCTTCTCGTCTAATACGGCTGTAGTGTGTGGGGTCAGTATTTTTGCCAGTAGCCTGTGCCATGTAGCACATGATATAAAACCTTTTGTAGTACCAGGTCTTTTTTAGTCTCAGCAGCAATTTTCGCTGCATCAACTTTAATCCAGAGGGAGGTTCCTCTCAAAGGAACACATCCGCTAACGAATCCATCCCTCGCGCTTCAGCTGTGTTAACAGAAGTCCATCGGCTGAAAGCATCTGCATTACCAATGCATTTTTTGAGGTTGTATTTTATGTCATATTCATTATACGCCAATTTTAGTGACCATCGCAACATACTGGGTGCAATACTGATGAAATGAATAGGTTTATTCGGATTAAACAATCCGATTAGCGGCTTATGATCTGTAATGATACAAAACATTCTAGTAAAAATTCATGAAATTTTGTAACCCCAAAAATTATCGCTAAAGCTTCTTTATCAATCTGTCCATAGCGCCGCTCGTGGGATTGTAATTCTCTTTTTAAGTCATATCCAACTAAGGTTAAATCAGATGACAACAAATCCCTAGCTTTATCAAAGGCAACTTTCTCAAACAAACCCCATAACCACGGTTTCTTTGCTTCCAGCAATCGATACAACGGCTCCAGTATTGTGGCATTGCCCATAATGAATTTTTCATAAAAATTGTATAAACCTAAAATGACCGAGGTTCTTCTCTGTTCCTAGGTGCTGGTTTCTCCTTTAACTTTTTCACTTTAATAGGTGACGGGTGCAGTCCTTCTGCAACAATCATATATCCTAAAAAACGTATCTGGTTTGATGCAAACACACATTTGTTCAGAGTTAACCTAAATCCCATTGCATTTAGTTTAGTCAAGACTGCCCGTAGTCTTTGATCATGTTCCTCCTTATTCTTTCCACTAAAAGTGACATCATCCAATAGACATGCTACTCCTTCCATACCTGCGAGTGTAGTCGACATCACACTCTGGAAAATTCTAGGAGCTACGCTTAATCCAAATGCTAACCAGTTCATCTTCATTAACCCTAACGGAGTATTAAGTGTTAACAACGTAGCTGTGTCCCCGTCCACTTTCATCTGCATGTACGCCTGTTTTAAGTCATGCTTACTAAAAACTCTTCCACCACTTAATTTCACAAGGGACTATTAGCAGCTGGTAATGGAAATGTATCAGTCTCTATGACTAAATTAACAGTTTTATTTTTATATAGGAGAGGGGGCAAACAAGCATGCGGTTCACCTGATGGTAAGTGACTACCGCCGCCCATGAACAACCGCAACACCAGGGGAATTGCAGATGCGTTGCCAGCCTTTTAAAAAGGAGTACGCTCTTTTCTTGAAGGTCCCTAAGTCGCATCGGTCCGGAAAAATCGCTGATGGTAATCGATTCCACAAGAAAGTCGTGCGAGGAAGAAAACATCTTTTAAATCGCACAGTGGTAGACCGCCAATCATCCAGATGGTGTGGATGGTATCGGGAGTTCTGCCGCGATGTGCGTTCGTGAAATTTGGCGGCTGGGATTAATCCGAACAATTCCTCAGAGCACTCCCCATGGTAGATGCGAAAGAAAATGCAAAGGAATGCAACATCTCTTCGCAGTGCCAATGAATCGAGCCGATCGGAAAGGACTCGGTCGTCGACGATTCGAGCCGCTCTGCGCTGGATGCAGTCAAGTGGAAGAAACTGGCACTGGGGAGCCCCTGCCCAGAGATGAGAACAGTATTCCATGTGAGGCCAAACCTGCGCCTTGTAAAGTTGCAGGTGTGCCGGCATGAAATACTGTCCCGCTCTGCTGAGCACGCCAAACTTTTTAGAGGCCAATTTGGCCTTCTCTTCCAAGTGACCACGAAACTGCACGTCACTCGATATGTCGACTCCGAGGATACCGATACTGGCTGAGGCAAGTAGGGGAGTGCCTTGAAACTGAGGAGATACGACGAAGGGGTTTTTTTTAGCGGTAAACGCGCAAACTTGTGTCTTCTGAGGATTAAACTGGACTAGATTTAGTCGCCCCCAATCCGAGACTTTGTCCAGCAAAGACTCGACTTCAGACATAAGTTTGTTCCGGTACTCGGCGACGTTTTCCCGAGAAATATTGGCACGGCCGGTGTATAGAGCATCACCAGTGCTGTCATCCGCATAGCAATGAATGTTACCAGTTAGCAACATATCATTGATATGCAGAAGAAACAGCGTTGGTGATAGCGCGTTAATAGGCTTGTAGTCGGAGCATGCACCGTCTACAACGACCTTGATGCTCCGATCTGCAAGGAAGCTAGTGATCCAATTGCATAATTTCTCGGGAAGCCCATAGGAAGGAAGCTTCGATAGAAGCGCTTTATGCCAAACCCGATCAAAGGCCTTCGCAATGTCCAAACTAACGGCCAACGCCTCCCCCTTGGACTCTACTGCCTCCGCCCATCTATGGGTCAGGTAGACCAGAAGATCACCAGCTGATCAACCCCGACGAAAACCGTATTGGCGGTAACTAATCAGCTGGTGATCCTCAAGGTACCTCATGAGCTGGCAGTTTATAATGGATTCCATTATTTTGGAGAACAAGGAGGTGGTGGCGACAGGCCTGTAGTTGGACGGGTCTGAGCGGTCGCCTTTTTTAGGGATCGGGTGGACAAAAGCTGTCTTCCTTGAATTCGGGACTACTCCCTGGGAGTAAGAGTACCGGAAAAGACGCGTTAGGACCGGTGCCAACTCCGGAGCGCACGTCCTCAGCACAATTGGGGTGATTCCGTCAGGCCCACTCGACTTCTGGATGTCTAGGGAGAGGAGTGCTTTGCGAACCGAGCGCTGTGAGAACAGCACATACGCCATGGAGCACTCACACCGCGGGATGGTCGGCGGTGTTTGCCCCCCGTCTTCATAACACTCCTGCTTACTGCATAATACTTACTTACAGGAGCGACCAAATCAAGGCTGAGATCTGCCTCCGATGGGTACCATAGATGATGGAATAAATAGTTCCATTCCCTGTAGCACCACATCAGTGACAGAGTCAGCAACAACGCTGGGATCATCCGGCGAGAAGCAAACCCGCCCCCATGGGTAGGATGCAAAGAAAGACCGTATTCCGTCCCAATCCGCCGACCTGTAATGCCAAACACGCCGGCAACCTGCAGAACGCAACCGCAAGGGGAGCGTGAGTGACACCGTACTCCGGATCAGACAATGGTCCGAAGAACCGAGAGGGGCATCGACGGAAACCTGATATCCGTCCGGATGAGAGGTCAGCAGAAGGTCCAACAGCGAAGATGTATGATCCTCCACATCTAGAATCCGCGTAGGCGAAGTAACCAGTTGTGCCAAACCATATGCCAAGGCAGTCATAAACAGATCTCCCCGCATGATCGGTTAAAATAATTCATCAACCTTATCATCTATCCAGCATATGCCAGCTATCTCTAAGCCCAACATTTTAAACCAGTTTCTTCGCAAAAGGCTCGGCCCGCGACCAGGAACAACCAGTAGCTCACATTGTGCTTCCTTGTTTCCTAATGACACTCAAACATGAGCTCGATCTAACACCTTCAGTTCATCACGGGTCCACGTAACCAACTTCACATCTGTCGCATCTAAATGTGGTAACCGACCACAGCTTATATCTTCAGATATGATTGTCCTTGAAGGACCTGAGTCCACTTCCATGCTAACCTTCACACCATCGATAATAACATCTACTTTAAATGGTGGTCGAATATTATCTGAGCAGACAAAGATACCCATCATCCGTTCAGATTTTTCATTTTCTATATCTGAAGTTGAACTTTCCTCCACCTGGTGCAACTTGCCAGATTTTTTCATACAGGCCAGCGCAATATGTCCAATCTTTTTACAATAAAAACATTTTGCTTTTATAACAGGACACCTTTTGTAGCAAAACAAACTCATTTAGTCAAATCTGCCTTAAACGGATATTACAATTTTACCCTCAACATTATCAATACATAACACATTGTAATGATTTTAAAAATAAATAGAAATTGTGCTAAAGCACTTTATGTTACATTAACAAAAGTATAAAAATTACAAAGATACTTACTCCTTCTAAAAGAGGATCATTGACATGTGGCGGAGTATAGTTGGGCAGGGAAGCGAGGCGAGTGCTGGGCACAGGCGGCAATGGCAGGAAGTTCAACACTGAGTGAGCTGAGAGACCGCAGTCCAACATTATCATCAGCTCTTTGAATGAAAGCACAAAGCATGGCTTTGCAGCATCGCTGCTCAAACAGTACTGTAACAAAAATGACAAGGCAAAGTTAATAACAACCTCCTAATTATTATCCATGACATAGTCATTTGCAAATTACATGTGTAGTCTGAGATGATACCACCCTAAAACAAACTTTAAAATCAATCTATTTTTTATGTTTTATATTGAATAAAAAATTTTGTGGTAATGAATATTTAATACATTTTTTAAAAATGCCAAACATACTAATGTGGTGGGTGGAAGGAAAAGGGGAGATCTCCCACCGGGCAAGGTGTTCTGCCCGGGGAGCGGCCAATGCACCGATTGGTAGTTCGGAGCTATTCTATATATTATGCTGCTTTAACTATGGAACTTTGTTACTGTGATTTAGGCTTTGGTGTGTTTCGCTTGTGGCACGATGACAGCGCCGCCACATCACCCCCCTGCTCAGACAGGAGGTCAATAGTGCAGTCTAGATGTCGACGAATTTGCAAGTGCCAGGGAATTGCCTTGTAAGTCTGCGGTGAGTCGAGAAGAAGGCAAGTAATCTGCGAGAGTGCCGTGAAGGAGAGGAGAGCAGTAAGGCTCAGAGCCGTGCCGAACACTGTAGCGCAGAGAGTAGCTTGAAGGAACAGGAAGCATTATTATTCCAATGCTGCGATGAACCTTTGTAAAGCTAGATGGCTTGCAGAATGTGAAGACTGCAGACAATATCTGCTCGGGAGCGAATGAATGGGGTACTTGAAGACGATATTTTCCGAACGTTATTGGTTTCGTGTTCAGATCACGTCGGGGTCACCACTGTGGTGGGTGGAAGGAAAAGGGGAGATCTCCCACCGGGCAAGGTGTTCTGCCTGGGGAGCCGCCAACGCTCCGATTGGTAGTTCGGAGCTATTTATATGATTATATTTATAAGTATAGTCACGGTGTGTAGTTCTGTATGAAAAAAATGGAAGCGGGCTTTGAAAAAAGACAGACAGCAGAAATGCATGGAATAAAGCTCTAAAGGTAAGTGACTAATAAAATATTACGGAAAGTATACAGCTTTACCATTGATTAGTAATTAGGCAGTAATACATAGGTAGGTATTAACTGACTGAACCATGAAGTTGCACATGATTTATAATGACATAAAATGAAAAAAACTTACTTAAACTTACTAATGCAGAGAGTATTAATCAACTCGTACTGTTATTTAGTACCTAGTGACACGTGAAGAAATTGGTTGGTTGCGTAGTTCGTCAGTGGTTGCAAACATATGGTCCTACTTTTACTTTGACTTACTTTTGAATAAACTGATTGCGGTATTACGTTGGTAGTTGGTACCTATACTGTTTTGAAAATGCAATAGTCGCAAACATTCAATGTGTGTAATACTAAACTGATTTTGATGAAATTTTGCATTAAGGTATAACTGGATCTACAGGATTTTATCTTCTTATATCGGACTTTTATTCCCAAGGAGCTTGATATAACAGAAATTTAAAAATAAAAAACAGAAAATAAAGGTTACTGATAAATAAATAACATGACAAGAAAAATATGGAGTAATAAATAAGGAGAGAATAAGAATAATATAACAATAAAGACTACTGGTGGCTTCGACGTGTCGGTTTGTGACGTCACATTGTGATGTGGAGCAAACAAAATTGGGTGGCCAGACCCATTATGACTTAAAGTATCAAATTTTATATTTTTTTCCTTGGCTGTGAGAGTACAGCACATTGCTGTCGCAGTTTTGTAATGGCTTTCGCAAGCCAGCAATAGCCCGTACATCCTAGCAATAGCCATTACAAAAATTGAGCTGCTTTATATTGCAGTTATACCAATGTATGCAATTATACCAACAAATATTTCAATTCTTAACTTGTCCTGGTCCATCCAGATCATTTCAATCAAATATGCAGTAGGAGAGAATTGAAATTTTATCATACAATTGTCAATTCTTAATCAACTTGTCTGGTATCTCATTGCCAGTGGGAAAGCAGCTTTATTGACAAGATTGTATGCAATTTTTTCAAACTATGTTTAAATTTTTATATGTATAAATAGGCTTTTCTAAGAAAATCCAGTTCACATGTATTTCTTACATTAAATGATTTTCCCACTATCATCACAACAAGCAGGAGAATTGGCATCTACCCTCATTTAATAAAATACAATATTTTTTTAAAATTCTATCCAGTTTGTGAGTGCTTTTAGCTATTGTGATATGGTTCTATTCATGTTTGAAAATTTTTTTTTAATGATAATAACATTGTATATTCACGAATAATATGATGTTTATATTTTTTGGTAGTTATTTTGATACCTACATGTCACTTTTGGATTGGATAGGGTGCTTTTACATATTGTATGATACTGTTACCCATCACCAGTTTGTGAATGATGGGAGAGTTTTTCACCATCATTTAGTAACATAAACCTTATATGTAATAAACTGCAAGCATTATATATATGCAGGTGAGTTTCATATTTCCAATTTAATCAATTTTTAAGACATTTTTACGAATTTTTTATGCGATTTTATAAGATATGTTTAAATCTATTGGCCTTTTATGTAGAGGAAGTTAAAATTTCATCTAGTTTTATGTACATAGATGAGAGCCGTATATTAATTTAATTTTAACTTACCAATTTCATTTTTAATTTATAACTTAATTTAGTCACTCATCAAAATGCAATAGTTATTTTATGCATGGGGCATCATTTATAATCACTTATAAATAAAATTACTTCAGATTGCCATGTTGATATTTAATGAGTATGAAACATAAATTAAATATTATAAATACTCTTGTATGGATTTTCAATAAATCTTAGATATGAAGAGTAATTTCTCAATTAAGATTAAATATAACCTAAATATCTAATATTGGTTCTGTTTACTAATATGTCAATTGTCAAATATCAAGTCAATCATTAATTTTTTTTTGGAGTTTATGGCCTGGTATCTAGACCTTTAGGCCAAGTCTTAAGTATTTTTATTCGGTTTATTGTAATTTCCCCACTCCTTCATAGTATACTGCTTCACAATATGTTGATGCGTCACATTGTGCAGTTCTTGGGAGATTTTGGCGGCAACTTGATCCAGCAGACAGCTGATAGTTGGCGATGGTATCTAAAGGTGCCTATGCAAACAAACAGCTTATCTTGAGAATCCATCACCATCAGAGCACTTGTTTCACTGTTTCCACTAATAGTTCACATGCGTAGACACTTAATACACAAAACCGCAACACTTTTACATATCAAAGTCCACTTCAAACCATTATTTAAACAATAATACAGGAGCAGCAAACCGCCGCCGGTCAATTTCCCGCCAAAACTCCTAGTCAATCATTAATTCTTAGTTCATTTTTGATTTTTGGCTTGGATGCTTGTTCTTTATATCGTATCTTTATAACAATCCTTTATAGTACACTGCTTCACAATATGTTTTTTTTATATAGAATAGAGGGCAAGCGAGCATGCTTGTTGCACATTGCGCAGCTTCTGGGAGATTTTGACGGCAACTTGAGCCAGCACACAGTATAGTATCTCAAGGCGCCTAAGCAGACAGACACCTTATCTTGAGATTCACATCACCATCGGAGCAATTCGTAGCTAACGCCGAAAAAGGGCGAACCTCAATTTTTAAAAAGTTACAGGAGAGCAAGAAAATATTTATTATTCCCCGATTACAAGCTTTTTTTCATCCGATTTAAAATATTAGATTTAATTGAAAACTACAAATACGATTTCCTCTTATAGTTCTCATGCGCTGACATTTAATACACAAAATCGCACCACTTTTATATTTATATGTAAAAGTGGTGCGATTTTGTGTATTATAGGAGCAGCAAACCGCCGAAAAAGACAGTTTGGTATTGAAAACATAGCGTAGTTGCATCTGGCATGTAATTTTTTTTTTGTAATGTATGGCATTTTGGTATGTTGAGCAAAATAAAATATAACTAAAAATTTTGTACAATCGACTTCAATATAATATTAAGAATAACTGAAAAAATATTGGTCAGACCTTGATCACATTTATATGGGACCACTTGAGAAGCACCAGCTTTCAAATTAAAAAAGAAACATCGAAATCAGTTAGTGGAATCGAAATTGAAATCAGAAAGTTATGAGGTAACACACATAAAAAACATACAGTTGAATTGAGTACCGTCTCCTTTTTGAAGTCTGTAGAAAATGTACTCTGTGGTACTCTGTAACAAAGTAATGATAAGAGTTTTGGCGGGAAATTGGCGTGACGTACAGGAGCTGCAATCCACCGCCGCGGCGGTATTATTGTTTAAATAATGGTTTGAAGTGGACGTTGATGTGTAAAAGTGGTGCGATTTTGTGTATTAAATGTCTGCGCATGTGAACTATTAGTGGATACTTTGAAACAATTGCTCCGAAGGTGATGTGAATCCCAAGATATGGTGTGTGTCTGCTTAGGCGCCTATAGCTAACTTTCAGTTGGCTCAAGTTGCTGTCAAAATCCCCAAGGGCTACGCCATAGATTTAGAATATACTGGCGTATAGACGACCTGACAGCCCGAAAACGCGTGACTCATTTTGATTTGTCATTGTGTGCGTTAGCTAGTGCAAATTTTACTTACAAGGATTATCGAATATGATTATTAAGGAAGGGGTAAAAAGATTTAAAAAAAATTGTTTAGTGCACGAAATTAAATAACTTCAAAAATTGATTGAATTTTTACCATGATGTTTCTAAAATAATTAAAAAATATTCAAAAAACATGTTCCTGGGAATAAACTCAACCAACCTGAATTTTGTTGGATTTTAATTCAAATGTTTAAAATTCCAGGTGACTACCGATAAACTTAAAAAAAATACCCAAGAATCAGATGATTTCATTCAGATCGGAAAGTTGTATTTTCTTTGGAGAAAAATATTTACTGCCATGGGCAGTTTCCACAAAATTTGTTTTTTAACATATTATTAGTATAAATAGGTAGATACTTAACTAAGTATATACCTATTAATATTTTATAAAATGTTTTGATGGAGAAATAAAAAACTGGGACACCGA